TCCTCCCTTTTTCTTTGTTTGCACTTTTTTGACTTATTATTTTCCTTTCCTTTCCTTTCCTTTCCTTTCCTTTCCTTTCCTTTCCTTTCCTTTCCTAAATGTGTATTGTTTTTATTCTTATAAAAATATATATTTATATATATAAAAAGCCCCACAGAGGCATAATTAGGGACAACCAAGATATAATGTTTTTTCTTGAATCTACACCTGGGTGTTCCTTTGTCCAGTTGGTTATTCCTGAGGCCAGGGGCAGAGCTGGGAACTTGGGCAAGAAAAACTTTCAAAACATGAGAAGATTGGACATTTTTAGGCCAGGCCAGAATGTTAGACATCTCACCCAGTAGACTACTCTTGCTGGCAACGTACCTCTAGGTCTCAGTACAGAATTGTATTCTCCTCCTTGCTACCTGCTCCCTTTAAGTTGGGTTGGCTTCAGGAGATCCCTTCCTTGTTAATTTGGAGCAGCTCTGGAGCAAAACTGGAAATCAGATTTCAGCAATCTGGCTTGCCACCTAAATTTACCATTCTGGCTTATCTTTATCGCCGTGGAAGGAATGACATGAGAATGGCCAAGAATATAGTTTCCTTGCTCCCTCTCCCCTCCCGTGTCCCACCCACTGTTTGGCAGGCAGAACATGGCCAGGCATCATCATGACCAAGCATCGTGTTCACCAAGTAAAAGGTTGCTACTGCTGCTTTAGGGGGAAGTACCTGAGAAGAAACATGCAATTTTCCGCATGAACATCCTGTGGCTTTTATCAGTGAGATACAATTCCAGCAGGGAGAAAGAATGGCTCTGCTGAGCAGCGAAACAAAGCTCTTTGTGTTCTGGTGTCGTCAAGCAAGAAGTTGCCCACTGCTGATCAAATGACCGATTTTCTTCTGAGCTTTACATCCTTGCAACTTCTGGTAGCTCACCAAGCTCCTGCATCAGGACAGCGAGGGATTCATGTCAAATTCTGGAGCTCCTTCTTCCTACTGTGCGCTAGGCGCATGAAGGTTTGCTCAGTTTTGGATGCCCAATCATGGTTGGTTTCAGATGATCTTCTACAGTTGTAGGTGCCTGCCATTCTCATTCCACCGGATTGACCTAATATGGTCTTCCAGATGACATGGGAATTCAGGGAGTTGTAGCCCAGCACATGTGAGAGGCACCTGGCTAGGGAAGCAGCAGTACGTGTACAAATCTGAACAAGAAAAATAGAGTTTTGTTCACCCAGAGAGGAAATAACGTTAAACAGCTTATCTTCCTGTAGGGGATATAAGGCATTATCTGGGGATCTGTCAACTTCATTATATTGTATCATAACATTACCATTTTGCGGAATCGGAGCAATGCAGTCTGCCTCCGATCAGCCAGATTTAATAAATCAAATCCTTTCTCTCTCCAGTCACGTACAGCCAAACCAACTATAAATTAACCAATTTACTGTATTGCTTGTTGGCCTTGTGGCCGATGAAACACATTTCTGGAGCACGTGTGCATTCTCTTGGGGAATATTACTCTCTCTGTCTTCCCAACCACATTGGGATGTATGAAATGGAGTTTTTATTGAGATTTTGCACAATTAAAATGAAAGAGAAACCGCAAATAACTTGAGTGAATTTTGGGGGAAAACACTCCAAGTCTGGGCAATCTTTTGTGGTTTGGGGTATGGTTGACAAAGGATTTATATAAAGATTTCTAGCCTTCCCC